AGAGGGCATCAACTGGCACCCACCTTGCCTCGGCCCTGTCCAAGGCCATCCTGTTGCTACTGCAGGCTTTTCTGGGCTGCCAATGCCTTGGCCAGAGCTGAAGGAGGCATCCTGCCCAGAGCCACCCGGACTCTCAGGAAAGCCACGAAGAGGTCCGAGTCTTGGGAAGCAGCAGAGTCCGGTAGATGCACTGGGGCAGGCGGGAGCAGCCTGTTCTCATTGAGCAGCATCTGGTGGGCTCCTGAGTCGAGGGCCCCTGACAAGGTCTACACCAGAACCATGATTCCCAGGGAACACTTTGGACTGAAGTCCTACGTACAGTATCGGAATGACGTCACCTCTCAGAGCCTTGGTTCTTCCTCTAACAGTGGTTCTCAACCTGTGGGTTGCGATCCCTTTGGGGGTCAAATGACCCCTTCACAGGGGTCGCCCGATTTATAACAGTAGCAAAACGACAGTTCTGAAGTAGCAACAAAAATAATTTTATGACTTGGGGGGGGGGGTCACCACAACAGGAGAAACTGTCTAAAAGGTCGCGGCATTAGGAAGGCTGAGAATCACTGCTCTATAAAATGAGCATGATCATCCCCACCTGGCAGATCAGCTGTGACCCTGAAGAGGCGATGATGGCCGTGAACGTGCGTTACATATTGCAGAGGGTCAACCACAGGAGACGTTTTCAAGGTGGCCTGAGTGGTCAGAGAGAGAATCATGCGGGAGGGAGGCTGAGCTGGGACTTTGAAAGGTGGGCTGCATTTTCCATGGGTGCAAAGGGTGGGCTGCATTTTCCATGGGAAACTGGGGAATGAAAACACGCAGACACAGAGGTAGCACAGTGACTCACCAGTACCCAGAAGAGTCCGATCTGCGGGTGAGCACCCACTGCTTGGGCTCAGACATGGGTCAGGAGCCCCTGATGGTCACTCAGAACTTCAGCCCAGGCAGTCCCCATCCCAGCCTGCAAAGTCCCTCCTAGCTGCAGGGAGGTGACAATGTGTTCAGTAGGGAGATAGACAGAGAGGGGGATGATCAGAGCACCTTCCTAGGACACCCCCGCCCCGCCAGGACCTGCTCAGACCCTTCCCAGTGTCCAAGGTTCCGTCTTCACAGCAGGGTGGCAGTCCCTCCTACATGCTTGGGCCACAGGTGGCCTGACTACACTGGGCTCTACGCCCTGCAATCCTCCAAGCGGGGCTGGGAGTGACTGATGGGTTTACAGTGGGTTCCAGGCAGAGATTTGGAGCTGCTGCAGACTAGCCTGGTCTGTAAAGGCCCCAGATGACCACTCATGACTAGGGCAGACTCAATTCTAGGCCAGGTCCTGGACAGTCCAGCCCTGCAGCTGCCTCCCAAGCTCTGACGATCCTGGAGTCGGCAGCCTCTCCCTCGACAGAGCTGCAGAAAAGGGTGGGGTAGATTCAGAAGATCCCAGTCTGACCCTTCACAGCTCACCACTCAGTCCTACTTGGGGACAGCAAAGGACTCTTTGAGGGAAGTGGGCAGGGAGGAGATAAGCTAGAAGGACCGAAATGGCAGGGCTGGAATTTGAACCCAGGGATTCTAGATCCCAGCCCTTAACCCTGACAATACCCACTGGCATTTGGGGCTAAATGGTCAGGGGTCCAGGAAAGCATCCTGGCCTAAAGGATGCTTTGCCACAGGAACCCTGCCTCCCACTGCAGAGAGAGGACAGGGCAGCCACTTTTGGGAAGTTGAGGCAGCCTCTTTCCTACCCTCCGGAGTACCATAGAGTGGGGGCCTTGCAGAGAAACTGGTTCACCTCCCCCATTCTCTTCTGCCCACCCTGCTCCTCTTCGCCAGCTTCAGTGGTCACACTGCTCTTCTGGCCACCCTCCCGACCACTGGCCACTCTTTGGAGCTGTCTTTCCTTCCTTTGTCGTCTCATCCATGGGGTCTGTTGTCAGCATCACGGAGCTTTGGGGGCCTCACAGCTAACTTGGCCCAGACTCTAACAGCACAGACACTGAGGACAGAGGACACTAGTTAAACGCTACACATTTGACTCAGAGACAGAGCCAGGACTGGGCTCTGATTCCCTATTTTCCACCTGTCCTTTCATCACTCTGCTCTGGCTCAGCTGATGTCTGTCTGTCTGTCTGTTCTTGGATCAACAGGAGTCCCATGGGCTTCACTCAGAGCTTTGCCATCAAAGCCACTGAAACTGCTTGGTGGCTTGGCTCTGACAATAAATCAGACCAAACTGGGTGGGGCTGGCTACTGGGCTCTGGGCCGAGTGCTGGGGCCAGGGGGGAGACCAGGCACCAGCAGACAAAGCAGACCGGGTCTGTGCCCTGAGTCGGGCTTAGGGGCCCTCACTGCTCAGCATCGTTCCTCCACTACCACCCTCCACATGCATGGATCCTCTCCAGAACACTATTCAGAGAAAACAGAGCTCTCCTGGTGGCACAATGGTTAAGCACTGTGCTGCTAATTGAAAGGTTGGCAGTTCAAACTTACCCAGTGGCTTCCTGGGACAAAGACCTGGTAATCTGCTTCTATAGCGATTATAGCCCAGAAAAACCAATAAGGCAGTTCTCCTCCTCTGTCACGTGGGGCACTATGGGTTGAAATCGACCCCAGGGCACCTAACAAGTCTTTGATTACACACACACGTGGACAGAAAGACATAGATCTATACATGCACACACAGTTCTCTGACATGGTCAACACTACGATTGCTTCTTCTTTTCTAAAACCTTTTATGGTGAATTAAGTGAAGGCTCACCGAGCAGATGATCAGTTTTGCATGCACGATGCACAGACGCGCTCACATTCCCTGTTCATTCATTGCGGCCCCAACGCGCCACCACTTATCCCAGGCCCTCCCGGTGCTTCCTGTTTCCGTTCCTCCTCTCTCCTAACGCTCTGGATCTCATCCTTGGGCAAACACTGCCCTTTTGGTCTTAAATGGGTGATTATGTGGCCGCTGGAGAAAGTTCGCTTCCAGACCTGAAAGGTGACTGGGCGGAGCCTCGCACGGTCCCACCCGCCTCAATCCCATCAAAGTGCCTGGTCTCTGTGTGTGAGTTTGAGTTGCTCCCATTCTGTCCGAGACCATTGAACGTCATCCTGTTTGAACAGATGGTAGTGCCGGACAAATCAGCCAGTTTGGGCTCAAGATTGTGGAGACCGAAGCAGTGCCTGGCTCGAAGTCCACTGGACGACTTCTTCCCAGATGTCTGGTGTTCATCACTGTCCTTTCCTTCTGAGGGAGAGAGACCAAATTTTGCACCTCCGATGACTTAAGAAATTTAAAGACCCCAATTGTTAGTGACTCAAGTTGGATGCCGAATATTGTCTTTGTGAACGATGTTATGCCAGTTGACCTTACTCCCAGGGACTGTGGTCCTAATGTGGGGTCTTTTCTTGTGGGGTGTTTCCCTCTGAGGGCAAGGACATATCTTTCCTAATGCCTGGCCTGGAGCCAGCCCTGAACAGGAGCCTCAGTGAGTGTGGGTGGAAAGAGTGAGCTGATCTGGTGCAGAGTCACAGAGGCTTACTTCCGTCTCCGTGGTCTGGATGAACCCGGGACTCCAGGCCCCTGCCTGTGGCTCCTAGGGTGCCCCCCCCCCTTCCTCTTCTCTCTCCAATAGGGTTCTTTTCTTGTGATTAGTGCTTCTCAGGTTGGGTTCATAAGGCAGCAGCATCAACCTCACCTGGGAGCTTGTTAGAAATGCAGTCTTTTTTTTTAAATATTTAATAATTTTATTAGGGGCTCATACAACTTTAATCACAATCCATACATGCATCAATTGTGTACAGCACATTTGTACATCATTGCCCTCATCAGTCTCAAAACATTTGCTCTCCACTTAAGCCCCTGGCATCAGGTCCTCATTTTTTCCCCTCCCTCCCCACTCCCTCCTCCCTCAGGAGCCCTTGATAATTAATACATTACTATTTTGTCATATCTTGCCCTGTCCGACGTCTCCCTTCACCCACTTTTCTGTTGTCTGTCCCCGAGGGAGGAGGTCACATGTAGATCCTTGTAATCAGTTCCTCAGAAATGCAGTCTTGAGCCCCACTTCATACCTACTGAGTTCGAAACTCTGGGTTCGGTAGGGCCCAGCGATCCATTTTAACAAGCCCTCCGGGCAGGGAAGCTATGCCTTCTTAGATCAGGGAACAGCTGCCTGCAACCACAGGCAGCCTTAGGGGGGGAGGGGGGACGGTTTCAAGTGAAGTCCTGAAGCGCAAGTTGGTCCCAGCCTCCTATGGGTAGGGCTGGGTGTTTAAATACGTGTGGGTGCCCATGCCCAGAGTCAGGCAGTAACTCATTCAAGCGCATATGTGAGTATTTGTCTGGGGCTCCCCAGCCACAATGGGCATAGGCAGGTAATCAGATGGGGCAGCTTCCAGGGAAGTGGAGACCTGTTCTCACCTGTTCTACATCCTAGGCCTTACAATCCCTTTGTCCCTTGTCCCTTCTGAGGTTCCCTGAGTATTCCCTCTGAGGCCAGACCAGCTTAGTACCTGCCACACTCAGACTAGGCACCTCCAGTTACCTATGTGTGCATGAGACTTTGGGGGATGTGCTAAGACCAGCAAAGTTCTTTCTCTGTAGGGGTGGGCCAGGACCAAGGGAATTTAGGGGTTCAGCAAGCAAGGCTTAGGCAAGAGCACATCATTCTCTGAGCCATGACATGCTGCCTGAAGTGTAGAATTGCCCTCGGCCCCTCCCAGGGCGGCTCCCAGTATCTACCCCACCGCCCCACTCTGGTCACTCTGCCCCGGCCTATGCAGCCACAGGCAGCTGCTCACCTGGCCCACCACCAGGCCTGATGGCATCACCCCCATAAGGCTCTGGAAGTGAACTGGGGCCTCTGTGAGCTGCAGGGGGTGTGGGGAGGGGAGAGGGAGGCTGAGCTTCCTCATGCTCAGATCTGGTTTCGCTGCTGCTTCCCGTGGCTCACTGCCACCGGCTGAGCCACCAGCTGTGCTATATAAGGCCCGGAGGCCGGACTTCAGGAGAGGGAAGGCTTGGCCCCCAGCTGAAGAGTCCTGCTCAAGCCTGGTGAGCACCTTTCCCATTCCCCTCACCCCTCTCTGACCTCCCCTGATGACCCCCGTTCTCCCTTTTGCCCCTCATTTCCTACAGAGTAGACCCCCTTTCTGCTTGGCAGACCTCTTTTTCCCCAAAGTTCTCTCCCTCCCTGCTCCCTCCTGCCCGCCCGCCATCTGGAGCTCAGGGGCCCCAGGGGGTCCTAGTTAGGGTCTCCGTACCTCTGGGTGCTCCTGCTGCTCTCCCGTTGGCCAATCTGCTTTGTCTGTGTGAACTGAGGTGTGTGGGGTGAAGAGCTGTCGGGACAGAAGCTGAGGAAAGGCGGGGGATGCCGAGAGAAACCCGTGTGGGCTGCCAGATGGGAAATGGTTTTTCCACAAGGTACCTCAGGCTACCTTGACCTTTCAGTCAGCACAGACCAGGCTCAGCCCCAAATGCCGAGTGCAGGCTCAGAGGTCCAAGTCCAGCGGCTTGGTTTAAGACTCGCATAGCTGGAGAGCTTGGGGACATCCCCGGGCCACTGTTCCCTCATTTAAGAAATAGTTGGCGGCGTGAAGGAGAAGGTTTAGGGCCAGATGATCAGTGATTTCTTTCCCCAGGTCCCAGGGTCTTTGAAATCCAAGTGGTTTTGAGATTTTTCAATAGGGAGACTCTTTATCTTAACAAACCCTACATTTTGGAGTTGAAGGCACCACTTTAGACTCTAAAGGAATTGGTCCCATCAGGGTTTACCAGAGCTCTGTGAGCTAGAGCCTGGGCCACATCCCATGGTCCCTTGTCCCTACTGCCAGGGCTGCCTTCCTCTGTCCCATGCTGTAGCCCCTAGACCACCTTCAGCAATTACTGGAGAGCCCTGCTGTGGGTCACCATATGTCCTTCTGCTTCCCCTCGGTCTCTTTTGCCTCTGTGACTCCAGGCTAGGCCCCAAACACACAGCCCAGAATGTGTTTGAGCGGTGGCTCGTGTTCATCTGGAGATGTGTTCATTCATTGAGGTGTTGTGTGAGAGGTACCCTCACTGCAGCATGTCTCCCTGTGAGCAGCCTCTGGAGTTGGGGTGGGGCGTGGGGGGCTGCAGGGTCCTAATAGGCATTCCAAGAGTGTGAGCCCCACTACAGGGTTGGAAAACAATTGCTCTTCAAGTCCAGGTCTTGGAAATGATTAATGGGTCACCCAGAGACTGCTGGGAGTGAGCCCCGGCTCCTCCTCACAGGCCAGGAACCTCCCCATCCATGCTCTCTCCTGTGCTGCCTTGAGGTGAGGCCCTGGAGCCTGTACTCCCAGGGAGTCGGTCTTGCTTCATAACTCAGACTCTGCACCACCCAAGCACAGCTCAGGCGGGTGTCACCGTCCACACTTCCTTATTCTGCTTGTTTTCATCCCTGGCGGCTCGAGAAATACTGCCACTTGATCCTAAGAAGTGGCTGGAGATGTGGCCCTCACAAACTTTCTTTCTTTGCAGGTCCCTGCATCTGAGAAACTTCCTGGGGAACCACATTCCAGAGGCGTCTGACCCTGTGAAACCCTCATCCATTTCCTGCCCTTTTCCCCACAGGGCCTGGGGGAAGGATGTGGGGGACCAGGGCCTGCATAGTCTTCCTCCTGGCGACCTCTGTGTGGGGTAGGCGAAGTATCTCCTAGCTCCCAAGTCTCCATTTGCCACAGCGAGGCTGTCAGGCTAGGGTCCACCTGCCCAGCTACGTTAGGCCAGAGCAAAGGCTTTAAGACCTGAGGCTGATTTATGAATCCATGAATAATTATGCCCTGCTTGTTTTCTCAAAGGAGTGGAAATACTTCCCAATACTGAAACTCAAAGGACAGAACTTTTTTAAAGAAGAGAAGGGAAGGAAGCGGAAAAGAGGATTACTGCCGGAGCACTTAATTTAGAGCTGGGTTTTCGGGCAGCCAAGCAAAAGGGAAATCAGAAAACACTGAATTCTCAGAAGCAGATTTGGGTTTGGGTTTTAGTTTCATGAATTTTCTTCTGCCCTCAAGTTCAATGTCCATTATTCCCCTGAATTAGAAGCACCCGAGCTGAGCTCTTCCTTGACCGTCATCCGATGGTGACATCTGGTCTCCCGGCCTCTGAGCCCATCCTCGGGGACCCTGAGAGCTCCGAAAGGAACCGCCGTTGCTGCCGAGGCGGGGCCAACTCTTGGCAGTCCCATGTTTGTCAGAAGAGCTGTGCTCCTCCGGCTCCCGTGACTGCTTCTCCAGAAGTCGGCTGCCAAGCCTTTCTTCTGAGGCGCCTCGGGTGGACTCAAACCCCTAACTGCGCTGAAAAGCTCAAGGCAGTAAACACTTGCACTACTCAGGCACTCCCTTGCCGGGACAAGTGGAGGGGAGGTGCCTGGGGAAGCAGCTGGCTCCCCAAGGTGTCAAGGCAGCAGAGCTTCCTGAGTTGGCCCGCACACACTGCCATGCCCCTTCCTCCCCGAGTTCTACCACGTGCTCTTGGAAAGTGACAGACGCCCCAAGCCTTCTTGTTCAGCTCATGCTTTGCAGGCTCTGTGGCCACAGATGCAGGAGCAGAGGCTGCCTGTGTCTCGCCAACCTTGTGTGTACCTTCCACTGCCCTGCTCTTGCACCTTGACAGCTGTTTTGTGAGAGGATGATTGACAGCCAGGCTTCTGAGGGGAAAATTAGATTAGCCGGATCAAAAGAGCCCCTAGCACCCCAATTAAGCAGCACAGTGAATTCTGATCTGGCTCCCTAGATGTGAGTCGATTGCCTTTCAAAGCTTTCGTGACCCTCTGCTCCGCCTTCACTTCCCTTTTCCATTCCAGCCTCAAGTGGGGTGGGTTTAGAAGCTGCCTATGTCGGAGCCCTGGTGGCACAGAGGGTTAAGTGTTAGGCTGCTAACCCAAAAGGTGGGCAGTTTAAATCCACCAGCTGTTCCACAGGCAAAAGATGAGGTTGTTTGCTCTGTAAAGATGTATACTCCAGTCCTAGGGAGCAGTTCTACTCTGTCCCATAGGGTCACGATGAATCAGAATTAGCTCAATGGCAGTGGGTTTCGCTTTCAATTTGTGTCCCAAGGACCCTATACCACCCTCAGGCAGTTCCTGCCAGTCTGGGGTCTGAAAATTGGAGATCACAGCCACAATTAGGCCACAGGAGTGCTTTTGGGCAAGCGGACCCCCATCCCCCAGAGGCACATTTTGCGAAGGGCAGCAGGATCCAGAGAGCCGCTAACACGAGCTCAGCATGCACCCTGTGCTAGGCAGCACATGGCATCGTGAATGCGCGGGTTGATCCCCAGAGGCAGGGGCTTTGCTCCTCCTCCTCGTCTGGCGGAGGTGCAGGGAGTCCCAAGGGTTCAGTAGCTTGCCCAAGGTCATACAGCCAGGGTGTAGCAGGGCCTCTGGAGCCCAGACCCCCAGCTCTCTGGTGTACATCCGAGAGGCTTTCTTGTGCCACCTCAAGGAATCCTCCTGCCAACAGAACCACCCTGTGAGTCGGGACCTCACATCTCCATTTCGCAGAGGACAAAACTGAGGCTCCGGTTGCCAAGAAAGCTAGGGCCGGACGCCGAAGCAGGAGTCTCTGCCCACTGGCTGCTCCGCAGCATTCTACTAGGCATTTCTAGAGAGAACAAAAAGAGGCTTAGCAGTACCAGCTATATGCCAGGCCCCCTTTATCGTCATTGTCACTCTGACTGCACCACGATCCAATGATGTGGCAATTAATGCATCCTTGTCTTCCAGAGCAAGGGGTCCAGGGGAAGAAAACTTTTGTGGGGTTGTGAGGTCAATAAGTGGTAGAGTGGGGCTGTGGTCCCACACCTAATATTCATGCTCTAGCTGCCTCATCTCCCTCTAGAGCGCTGGGAATCTGGTGGTAGGACCCTGCTGGGCCCCTGTGTCTTCTAATTCTGACTCGGTTTCTTCTCTTCCTGGCCCCCAGGGAGGCAGACGATGCTTAGCCAGTCTGTGAGAAGAGTTCAGCCTGGAAGGAGGACCCCCAGTATCTTTGCCAAGCCTGCTGATGTCCTGGACGGTGAGTGGGGGCTGGTGCTGGGGAGCTGTCTTGACCGAGCCGCTAAAGGAATTGGTGAAGCCAAGGTTGTGAGGTCAGGGTTCCGTGGCATCCGGGCAGAGGGAGCTAGTACACAAGACAAAGCTTCTAGATCAATTCCACGCGTGCTGGCAACCTGGCTGTGGTCCTCACGTGGTCTGGTAGGAGAGTGGAGAGATGAAGTTAGCAGGGGCCAACACACCAGCACCTTGAATGTCTGGTTGAGCGATTTTGTAATCTGGGTGTGGACCCAAGCCAAATGGAGCGTTTACTCGGCTGCGGGGAGGTGGAGAGGCGAGGGTGTGGACAGGGAGCCTTGAGGGAGAGAGACGAGGCCAGAGGTTGACTGACGTGGAGCAGAGGCTGATCAGAGACTCACAGGAGACCTGGCCAGTGTGGGGTGCCAGAGGGTCGGTGATCAGGGAGTTGTTGAAGAGGGAGATGCAGCAGGGCTGAGACTGACTGGGAAGGTGAGAGGTATGAAGGATGACTCCTAGGTGTTGTTTAGCAGGAAAGGGGAACTGCGGGCGTGGCTCTACCCCAAACTGGCTCTGCTCTCTTAGGTCCCGGTGAGTGGACAACCTGGTTCAACATCGATCACCCCGGTGGGAAGGGCGACTATGAGCGGCTGGATGCCATTCGCTTCTATTATGGGGACCGTGTGTGTGCCCGGCCCCTGTGGCTGGAGGCTCGGACCACTGACTGGATACCTGCCAGCAGCACTGGCCAGGTGGTTCATGGCAGCCCTCTTGAAGGTTTCTGGTGCCTCAACCGGGAGCAGCACTCTGGCCGGAACTGCTCCAACTATACTGTGCGCTTCTTCTGCCCTCCAGGTGAGCCTAAGGGTGCCCTGATGCCTTCCACAAGCCCAGGAAGTGCCTTAGGCCTGCCTCTGGTCATAGGAACTCTGGAACACACACCACACACACACACACACACACACACACACACACACACACACACACACACACACACACTTTGTCTCTCTAATGATAACCCATCAGTGTCAGTACCACAATCTTCCCAACAGCGGCTCTGTGTTGGTTGCCATTTTACTTGGTGCATGGGGAATGGTGGTTAACACCATAGGCTCTGGGGTCAGGCTACTTGGGTTTGAATCCTGAGTCGACCATATGAACTACATTCTCTAGGCAAATTTCTGTTTATCTTAGGTTTCCTACATGTAGGACAAGAGTAATAGTGAATCTTCATAGGGGTTTTTAGGGGGATTAAATGGGATCATGGGTAAAGAGAGCTTAGCCCCTGGTAAATGTTTGTTAAGGGTTAGTTTCTTTTTTTAAATCATTTTATTGGGGCTCATACAACTCTCATCACAATCCACACACACATCAATTGTGTAAAGCACACTTATACATCCGTTGCCCCCATCATTCTCAAAACTCTCGCTTTCCGCTTGGGCTCCTGGAATCAGCTTGTTTTCCTTCCCCTCCCCTCCCTCTCCGCTTCCCCCTCCCCTCTTTTTTTAAAAAGTCACTTTATTGGGGGCTCATATAACTCTTATCATAATCCAGACATCCATCCATTGTGTCGAGCACATTTGTACATCTATTGCCATCCTCATTCTCAAAACATCTGCTTTCTACTTGAGCCCCTGGTTTCAGCTCCTCATTCTTCACCTCCCTCCCTGCTCCCCCTCCCTTAGAAGCCTTGGTAATTTATAAATTAGTGTTATTTTGTCATGTCTCACACTCAGCTATTAGAGTTTCTGGACGCTAGACCCTGGGCCTGTTCCCTGTATTAATCACCCTTTACCGCTGGCTTCTGAGGACTTTCCCTTGTGACAAGGTATCAAGTCTGACAAGGTCAGGAGCATCTCAGGATTATGCACACAGCGAAGTGCAGGGTTGGGGTTTGAACCACATCTGGGCTTGCACAGTCCATACCCTTTTCACCTCCTAACAGAGAACATCACAGGTGTGAGGGGAGCCAGCTGCAGGCTTGCCACTTGTTAGATGCCCACCCTCTTTTGTGGGTTCTGCCAGTCCACAAGGCCTGACCCTGGAGACCCAATTGGGAGTGGTGGGCTCTGTAGTGGTAGTACCGGTTGGTCTCCTGGGAAAGCTCTGAGGCCCCCTTCTTGCACACAGGCCTCAGATCAGAGGGGAGAAATGTAGGCGGGTCGGGGCTTGATGTCTCCTGCACGTCCTAGGACAGCATAGCAAACTCTTAAGTGTTGGGCCAACCAGCCCTCATGGGGTGGCCTTTAGCCCTTTGTACAAATTAGAGACTACTTCCTCAAGACTCTTGATTGCCACCTGTTGGAAAAACCATTGCAATAAACCCCGGTGAAGCCTGTGACATGAACAGAGGCCCTGACTTCTCCTCCTCAGGGAAGGAATGGCCCCAGTTAGGGTTCCTGACTGAGTCCCCTTGGGAGGTACATCAGATCATCTGCTGATGCTGCTTTGCAGGGTCCCTGCGCCGAGATGCAGAGCAAACCTGGAGCCCCTGGTCTCCCTGGAGCAAGTGCTCGGCTGCATGTGGGCAAACTGGGGTTCAGACCCGTACACGCACCTGCCTGGCAGGGACGGTGTCGCTGTGCAGTGAGGCCACTGAAGAGGGTCAGCTCTGCGTGGGCCAGGACTGTGCAGGTACTACTGATGCCTCATACTGAACAGGGTCTGGGAGGGAGGCCAAAGCAGCCCAGGTGGAAGGCGGGAAAGGCCAGAGATCGAGTCTGTTTATTCACCATGTATTGACTGAGCACATATGAACCATTTAAAGGAGGATATGCAAGGTAACCTGGGGGCCCAGACAGAGCAGGGACAGTTCCCACAGAGCGGCTTCCCGGAGGAAGTGCTCCGTGCTGATCGGTGGATGAGGAGGAGGTCATCCTGCAGGCTGCTGCTGCTGAAGAAAAGTGAAGGGTGCAGGGGAAGGGGAGTATGTGTGAGCCGACCAGGATCCATGTAACCCCTGCTGAGCTGGTCTGTCTCCCACAGCCTGTGACCTGCTCTGCCCTATGGGCCAGGTGAATGCTGACTGTGATGCCTGCATGTGCCAGGACTTTGTGCTGCAAGGGGCTGTCTCCCTCCCTGGGGGTGGCCCAGCCTCAAAGGCTACTGTCTACCTGCTGACCAAGACTCCTAAGCAATTGACCCAGACGGACAGCAATGGAAGGTTCCGTGTCCCTGGCTTGTGCCCTGATGGCAAAAGCATGCTGAAGATCACCAAAACCAAGTTTGCCCCCATCATGCTCACCATGCCTAAGACTAGCCTGAAGACTGCCTCCGTCAGCGCAGCGTTCATGAGGGCAGGTACTGGAGTTCCTGGGGGAGGGCTGGGAGAAGGGCTGGGCTTTTAACTAGAGGGGTCAGCATATTCAGAGTCACACACGGAACCCTTACCATGGCCCATACGACTCTTATCACCTAGCCCCTTATTACTATACACACATACACACACGCATGCACGCGCCTCTACTCTAGCCTCTCTCTAGCCTCCTCTCTCTGCCTCAAATACACACTCCTGCCTCAGGGCCTTTGCACTTTCTATTGATGACGTTTACAGTGGCCTTCCCCCAGATATCACTAGGGTTTGTTCCTTCCTTCTCTGATCACTGTATCTAGAAGAATGGATCGTAATACAGTGTGAGGGTTTGGAGGTCATAAACACAGTGGCTTGGGGAGCTCAGAAATGGTGCAGAATGGCCCAAAAATTCTGCTAGGGGAAGCGGAACAAGAATATGACACTATTTAAAAGAGCCAGCTCTGTCCTAATGGCAGTGCTTGGGACTCTTGGGCTGGCAGAAGGTGTATTCCTTCTGGCTGGGTTTTCCACTGCACCACCCAAGTTGCTGCTTGAAGGGCCGTGGGAGCAGGTGTGGAGGGGTGGACTCCACTTTAGATCGTACCCTTAGTGGAGGACCATTTGAAAGGAGTTGTGGGTAAGAGCGAAGCCACAGAATTTTAATACAAGCCGAAGAACCCACGGGAGCAAAGCTCTGTAGAATCTGAGAAAAACTAGCCGATATTCCTCATTCACTATCACAATACCCTCTCCCAGAGACTCCGTATGTCGTGATGAATCCAAAAACGAAAGCCCGAAGAGCTGGGCAAAGTGTGGCTCTCTGCTGCAAGGCCACGGGGAAGCCCAGTCCCAACAAGTATTTCTGGTGAGTGCACTGCCAGCTACCTGTTCAATCCTCTTCTTGGAACCCAGAGCAGTCTTGCATTGGGTCTGGATTTAATAGCCAACTGAATTAAGGTGCCAGCCAGGCACAGGTTCACAGCCCAGCAATGGGCATGTGAAAGTGGGAACCATAGGGTTCAAGGTGCCCAGACAACCAGCAGACCCTCTAGTTGTCCTCTCAAAGGTGTGGCATCCTCAGGGCTGCTTTGGTCTCAGGGTCCTAACTTGCATATCATCAGGACATCGGACAAGGGTCCTCAGCCCTGACCAAGGCAAGCGAAGATAGAACACCCAATGGCTACACATCACCAGCCTTCACAAACACCTGAGAGCCGTTATCTTGCTTGACCCTCCCAACAATCCTGGGGGGACCCCTTGGTGATGTAATGGGTTATGCATCGGGCTAGCTACAAGGTCAGTAGTTTGAAACCACCAGCCACTGCTTTGGAGAAAGTTGAGGCTTTCCACCCCTCTAAAGAGTCACAGTCTTGGAAACCCGCAGAAGCAGTTCCACCCTGTTCTATAGGGTCCTTATGAGTCAGATTCGACTCGATGGCAATGAGTTCGGTTTTTCGATTAGCAAGCCTGTGAGGCCCTCCGGGGATCATTATTCTCTTTTCATAGACCAATAACCTGAAGCTCAGAGAGGTGAGGGGATTTGTCCAATCAGCTAACTGGCAGGGGTGAAACTCAGAACCACTTCCTTTGACTCCCAGACCAGTCAGTCAGTGCTTCTTGGGTGAACTGAGTCAGAGGTGATGTTGGCATCTGGGGGAACCCATTTCCCATCTGTCTCCCTGACTGCTTGTTCCTGGGCATTGCTTCCCAGGGATACTTGCCCTTCCAGGGTCCCTCCAGTCCCACCTCTCCATCCTGCATAGGTACCACAATGACACGCTGCTGGACCCCTCGCTCTACAAGCATGAGAGCAAGCTGACGCTGAGGAACCTGCAACAGGGCCAGGCTGGGGAGTACTTCTGCAAGGCCCAGAGTGACGCTGGGGCCGTGAAGTCCCAGATTGCCCAGCTGACTGTCATTGGTAAGCTTGTCTGGGGGTCTGGGTCTGGCATGAGGGTGGCTGAGCACCCCAGGGAGCATAACTGGGCCCTAGAATATTTTCTGTACTATGCATAGTGCTGTGTCCTCTGGGCTGCAAAGACAGTGCAGACCCGAATCCTAGCCTCACCAAGGGCTGAAGAGGTGTAAAGAATTTTCTATGGAATATAGAAAAAGTCCGCTAAGACAGGAGCTAAGGAACGGTGATCGCTCTAGAAGGAAGACGGAGGACGTCCAGGAAGGAGCGATCTTGGTGGCTGCCTGAGGGAGCAACTTTCTAGCTGCCTCATAATGACTGTCAACCTTGACTGCCCACTGGGATCACCTGCTGAGTTCTCAAACATACCATTGACTCAGAGATTCTAATTTAATTGTTCTGGGATGTGGCCTGAGCAGCCCAGGTTTAAATGTTTCCCTGGTGGGTTTAATTTCCAGCCAAGTTGGAGTACTGCTTTTAAAGAACAAGCAGGGGCTGTGTGTGCAGGAGAGCATTCCAGACTGGGAGGCAGGTGAAAAATGGCGGGGCTTTATAAGAAAGGGTGACCTGATCCGAGGTGGCTTCAAGCAGTGGATTGGAGCAGGAACCTGTACTTGAGAATCGAGGGCTAGGGGTAGGATTTTCTTAATCATTACAGAAACAAAAAAACCAAACTCACTGCCATTGAATTGACTCACCTTCATAGCGACCCTGTAGAGGTTCTTTGGTGTCTGCAAGTCTTTACTGGACCCAAAGCCTCTTCTTCCTCCTGAGCAGCAGCTGGGGAGTTTGACCCCGTGTGGTTAACAGTCCAACACTTAACATAACAGCCCTACCCGGGCTCCTGGTCTTAGTAATGAGTCCAGAGGAAGAGGTCTTGTTCTGGAAAGATCCTGACATTTTTCATAGACCCCAAGAAAGCTGAGCAACACAAGCAGGATCAGAGATTCTTACAGAAAGAAGGCGAGCCCCTTCAGCAGGGGTTCTCAACCATTAGATCAATGCCACCGGTTTGTCACAGTTCTGTTTTTTAATAGTAATTTAAAAAACCTTTTTATTTACTATTATTTATTATGGATGATTTAAATGTATAGATAATAACTTAACTACATATAATTTTTAAAAATCCCTCTGACCCAAATTATAAAGGAGAAATTTAAAAGGAAACTTTTTTATTTCTAAAACGTTTATTTCTAATTTCAATTTTATTTCTAAGTACTGCAAAGTAGTATTTCAATATCTTTTGATACGATGACATGAGAAGAGGGTCAGATATTAGCAATTAAATGTGGCCGCTCCAAACGCTTTTGGCGGTTCAACATTTTGTGGTAACACTCATAGGTATATGAGTTTTCTGCTATGAAAAACAGCTTTTGGCATGGTTCCAAATACAGTCCTAGCTTGCTTTATGTGGGAGTTACATTCTTGAAATATTGAGTGTATGTAAAAGCTATTTGCTCTCCCCCACCTCCACGCTGCCTCTCAAACACAAAATACTAGGCTCTGATCATTTAAGCAGATTTTTCACCTACATGAATGTCTGGTGGGATACGTGAAAGTCATGCAGAACAATTCTTTATGCAGGGCCGTGCCAGACGTGCAGAACACAGAGCATCAGTGACCCTGCCCACTGAATGCCAGTCGTATCTCGACTTTGGTGAGCGCCCTAAGTGCCCTCCTCTTACAGAGAGTCCCTCCTCTAGTGGTCTCGGCAACCAACCCTCTTTCCTCGTCTCGGACATGGTGTTCAGAGCCACAGCTGCCTGTCTCTCACAGCAGTGCTAAGAGAAGTAGGGCCGAGGCGTGCAACCCTTTGAGGAGCACTCACAGAGTGCTGCCAGGAGGAAAGGTAGAGATGTGAACTTACATCCAATGGCTTCATCATTTCCCTCCACAGCCCCTGAGGAGAGCCCTTGTAACCCAACCCCTGAGAGCTACCTTCTCCGGCTGCCTCATGACTGCTTCCAGAATGCCACCAACTCCTTCTATTACGATGTGGGCTGCTGCCCGGTCAAGACCTGTGCGGGGCACCAAGATAATGGGATCCGGTGCCAGGATGCTGTGGAGAACTGCTGCGGGATCTCCAAGACAGAGGAAAGGGAGATCCAGTGTAGTGGCTACACGCTGCCCACTAAAGTGGCCACAGAGTGTAGCTGCCGGCAGTGTACAGAGACCCGGAGTATCGTGCGGGGCCACGTCAGTGCTGCTGACAATGGGGAGCCCATGCGCTTTGGCCATGTGTACATGGGGGGCAGCCGTGTGAGCATGACTGGCTACAAAGGCACGTTCACCCTCCACGTCCCCCAGGACACTGAGAGGCTGGTGCTCACCTTTGTGGACAGGCTGCAGAAGTTCGTCAATACCACCAAAGTGCTGCCCTTCAACAAGAAGGGGAGTTCTGTGTTCCACGAGATTAAGATGCTGCGACGGAAAGAGCCCATCACGCTGGAAGCCCTAGAGACCAACATCATCCCTCTGGGGGAGGTGATTGGGGAAGACCCTGTGGCTGAGCTGGAGATTCCAGCTAAGAGTTTCTACAGGCAGAACGGGGAGCCCTACACGGGGAAAGTGAAGGCCAGCGTGACCTTCCTGGACCCTCGAAACATTTCCACAGCCACCGCCGCCCAGAGTGACCTGAACTTCATCAATGATGAAGGAGATACCTTCCCCCTTCGGACATATGGCATGTTTTCTGTGGACTTCACAGATGAGGCCAGTTCAGAGTCGCTCAATGCTGGCATGGTGAAGGTCCATCTAGACTCAACCCAGGTCAAGATGCCAGAGCACATGCCCACAATGAAACTCTGGTCACTCAACCCAGACACGGGGCTGTGGGAGGAGGAAGGGGACTTCAAATTTGAAAGCCAAAGGCGGAACAAGAGGGAAGAGAGAACCTTCCTGGTGGGCAACGTGGAGATCAGAGAGAGGAGGCTCTTTAACCTGGATGTTCCTGAGAGCAGGAGGTGCTTTATCAAGGTGAGGACCTACCGGAGCGAGAGGTTCTTGCCCAGTGAGCAAATCCAGGGGGTTGTGGTCTCTGTAATCAATCTGGAGCCGAGGACTGGCTTCTCATCCAACCCCAGGGCCTGGGGCCGCTTTGACAGTGTCGTCACTGGGCCCAGTGGAGCCTGCTTGCCTGCGTTCTGCGATGACCAGTCCCCTGATGCCTACTCTGCTTATGTCTTGTCAAGCCTGGCTGGAGAGGAACTAGAAGCAGTGTCATCTTCTCCTAAGTTCAACCCGAATGCTATTGGTGTCCCCCAGCCTTACCTCAACAAGCTTAAGTACCGGCGGACAGACCACGAGGACCCGCAGGTTAAAAAGACAGCTTTCCAGATTAGCATGGCCAAGCCAAGACCCAACTCGGCTGAAGAGAGCAATGGGCCCATCTATGCCTTCGAAAACCTGCGGGCATGCGAGGAGGCGCCACCTAGTGCGCCCCACTTCCGGTTCTACCAGATCGAGGGAGATCGATATGACTATAACACAGTCCCCTTCAACGAGGATGATCCCATGAGCTGGACCGAAGACTACCTTACATGGTGGCCCAAACCAATGGAATTCAGGGCCTGCTACATCAAGGTGAAAATCGTGGGGCCGCTGGAGGTGAATGTGCGGTCTCGCAATATGGGGGGCACACACCGGCAGACAGTGGGGAAGCTGTACGGGATCCGCGATGTGAAGAGCACACGGGACAGGGATCAGCCCAACATCTCATCTGCCTGCCTGGAGTTCAAGTGCAGCGGGATGCTCTATGACCAGGACCGGGTGGACCGCACCCTGGTGAAGGTTATTCCCCAGGGCAGCTGCCAACGAGCCAGTGTGAACCCTATGCTGCACGAGTACCTGGTCAACCACCTGCCACTGGCAGTCAACAATGACACCAGTGAGTACACCATGCTGGCGCCCCTCGACCCATTAGGCCACAACTACGGCATCTATACCGTCACTGACCAGGACCCGCACACAGCCAAAGAGATCGCGCTTGGCCGGTGCTTTGATGGAACCTCCGACGGCTCCTCCCGTGTCATGAAAAGCAACGTGGGCGTGGCCCTCACCTTCAACTGCATCGAGAGGCAGGTGGGCCGCCAGAGTGCATTCCAGTACCTCCAAAGCACCCAGGCTCGGCCACCTGCCCCAGGCACGACCCGAGGAAGACTGGCGACCAGGAGGCAGCAGCGGGCAAGTCGGGCTGGCCAGCGTAGGCGAGGAGGGATGTCTTCTCTGAGGCTTTCCAGGGTTGCCCAACAGCCGCTGAGCAACTGAGTTTTCTGGTGGTCTGTCCTGTGACAGCCATTGTGAGACTGACCGCTGTCACCTGGTTAACTTAAGCACATCTGTTCGGTGTAATTTGCTTGTCTGTTTCTTCATGCCTTGGCTGTTTTTGTCTCACTAGACTGATGGCCATGTAGCAACCACCCCCCACCCCCACCCCATGGCAAACTAAAGCTCCTTTGTCTTGTCCTTTTAAAGAAACACAAGAAATTGGTGAGTGACAAATTGTGGCTTTGACTGCCCTTCATTTGGTGCCATCAACGGAAATGTACTTCCTTTTCTTTTTGCATGGTTTTGCCCAACTCTGACGATTTTTAAAATCTGATTTTGAAGTTCAAGTAACCAAATTCTTGATCTTGCTCCACAGGATGTAAGTAAGCACCCCATCACAGTTCATATGTATAAACAGTGGTGAAATAAAGGAATAAATGGTAATATTTTTACTTGAAATGTAAATTATTTATTTGATGAATTTGGAACTCTAGTTAGTGCACATTCAGTGTTAAGCTCTTGTGCTCATAGTTCCTCTATTGAGTATGGAGAGAACATGTCCTAGGACCCACAAATGCATTACATTACTCCTTGAATTAGCACGTTTCTCCTTAACTTTGTTCTTGCTAGAAGCCTAGTGTAGCCCAGGGCAGATGTCAATAAATGCACATTTTGTACTTGGATTCTCAGGCTGCTAACCTGTCTTTGATCCACTGAAGGGAGCCAGCTGTTTAGAGGGGCTGGGGGGACCCTAGAAAGCAGTCACAAGGTAGTACGCGGTCTGGTCTCCCTGTGACAGGGCTGGACATACACTCCAACAGTCAAGTCTGTTCTCGGGCATCATATTTTCCATCCACAGAGAACAGAGATTCCTAGACTGGAAAGCATGTTCTGGGCTCCTGAGTAAGGCTAAAAACATGCTCAAATCGCTCAATACTGGGGAGCTTATTTATACAATGGCTTGGCTCAAGGTCTGACAAGCTGGCCAAATGGTCCTTCGGCAAGTTTCCCTATCCCCCCACCCCCTCCCCAGCCTGCTGCCTGCTCCAGCTGGGCTGGCTGACCTCCCTCAGAAATGATGGGTGTTTCTAAAAGACCCAAATCTCTGTTGTCACAGCCTCTAAATAAAATAACTGGTCCAAATGGACAAGGTTTGGGTTTTGCTTTTGGAAAAGGTTTTAAAATAGTAAGGATTTAAAATAGTAGTCAGAAGCCAGTGGATGGTGCCAGAGTGACGGTAGAGGCATCAATAGTTGGGGCAGTGGTGTGAGGCAGAGTTCTGGGGTGAAGGCACTGACTGCCCCTCCCCCAACCATTCCAGACTCAGAAAAGAGGCCAAGGGGCTGAGGGAGGCCAGCTTACAATCAGGACAAAATGCTTTCCTAATCCCCTGACTGGCCCAGTACATCTCCTTTTGGCTACCTCCGGTCTGGGTTGCATGTATGCTCTTGTCTCAGTGTTGGCCCTGCTCCTGAGGGTTCGCTTTGTAATCAATTACAAATTTCTCTGGCAGAGCAGCTCCACTGCATGTGTGTCCTACTTCCAGTTTCCACTTCTGTCCCGCTGCGCCCAGGGAGCAGCTTCACCAGCAGCTCGGGCCAGTGCACCACCATCTGCTGCACAGATGCCCCACTGCCTCAGGAGGCAGAGGGCCTGCCGTTTCCACGATCCCTTTGGGCAGCTCCCTTCAAACTCACAGAGAGGCTGCGCTGGGGAAGGTAGACAGACTTGTGTGGTACCAGCCCCCACAGTCCAATGGGTACAAGAGGCGGTTGTGTAATTGAGGGGCAAAATTAAAGAGCTATCAGAGAAGATAAGGCTCACCTCCCGGATGACCATGATCTCGACAGCCAGATCCGTGCAGAGAAAGAGAATATATTGCTAACCGGGGCTTATGTACACTTAGGGGGCGTGCAAGTCCCCCTAATTACAGTAACCACACACAAACAGGAAGGGGCTATACAATAGGCATACATGTAATGGGAAGGGGATGAACTAGGGGTGTACACACAATAGGTAGGGGAGGCACTAGGGGTATACATGTGACAAGATGGGCAGACTCTAAAGTCAAGATGGCAGCCTAACCTTGATCCTCCTTGCGTTGGCTTGACCTTGTCTTTGGGCTCTCCTTCAAGGGAACAATCCACTATCCTTATCAGCAGGGAGTGGGCCCCACTTAGAGTGGGACAGACTATAGGGTCTGATTGCTCTAGATGGCTGATAACCCTCAGACAGATAACCTTTAAGCAGTTGACCTCCAAGTATATACCCATTGACCATGTGTTAGCAAGCAGCATTTTAGGTTTGGCATATAATCTGGGGGGGGGCAGACCACCTGGGGAATAACCTTTTGTGTCCCACAGAGACTGACTTGGTCCCAAGTGTATGCCCTTCCCTTTCTGCTCTCCAGTGAGGGCTTGAATCAAGGACTCCAGCAGGCAGTGGCTCATACCTGTTTCTTAACCCACCAAACATTTATTGAGAGCCAGGCCATGTGCCCACAGAGGGTTTTATTAGATGGTGTAAAATGGGACCAGACTTGGTGGACGAGGCCAGAGGTGGCTTCTTGGAGGAGGTAACATCTCATTTGAGGTCTGAATGATAGGCAGGAGGTGGCATGCTGAGTCTGGTGGGCATGAGCACAAACAGCTATGCTAAGCCAGCGGGTGGAGGCTGGGAAGTGAGGGTAGACGTCTCTGAAAAGGAAACTTCAGTCGAGCTCCTGACAGCTTTCCTAGTTCCTAAGCTCCTTGCCTCCAAAGGAAGCTCGGCCTCTGCAAGCTTTGTCTAGAGTCCAGTCAACTTTCCCTGGCTCTCCGTTTCCTGGTCTATAAGGAGGTGTCTAGATTATTTCCCAAAAGTCCCTTCTGTGGTTGTCAACTAGGTTAACTGGCCCCAGGATGCCTTTGGTTGACCCAACTGCTGGGGACTCACTGGTGTTCTCTTCTCCTGGGAAGGCTCAGCCTACTGGCTGGATGACCCATGTTTCCGAAAACCCCTGGGCTTTCCGTCTCAGCCTACTGTACACTGGCTGATCACCAACCACCCAGGTACCCAAGGGAGAACTGGATGAGGGCCAACACACCAGATGCAAGTGAGAAAGGACACAGGCAGAAAGATAGATCATTTCAGGCGACGTCTGCTTCCACCTAAAGGAGTCTTCTAATCAGAATGCCGTCTACAGGTGCAGAGAGTACTAGCAACTGGGTGAGAGACAAACCATCACCGTGTGAGGACAAGGATAAGGACAGTCTTAAAGGACTGAGAGGGCAGAGATGAGCAGAGTTGGAGGCAAAGGGAATGCCTAGAAACACGGAGTAGCAGAGGGACAGGACCCTGGAAGTCTGTGGTTACAAGGAACGAACGGTGACAAGACATCATCAGACCTCAGCAAGGACGGAACCAGGATCTGCAAAGCCGTTAGAGTCCAGGCATCGCTCTCCGCGGCTCTGTGATTCTTTTATCCTCTCACACGCATAACCTAGCGTTTGGTCAATTTTTACGGTTTCCATGTGTAATTGAAACAAACTTGTATTCTCTAATCATTGGTGGAAGGATCTATTTATAACCACTAAATTAAGCTTAATTGTATGGTTCAATTAACAAGAGTGTGGTGAATTCTTTCCCTGGATAGATCTGCCCCGTGCTTCTTCAGTTGGGCTTTATGTATTTTGAGGTTATTTTAATGAGTGCATGTATTATCTTATTAACTTCATGACTTCTCATGAATTAAATCTATTATTATGCTCTTTGTTCCTAATCCTGTTTTTTGAAAAGCCTAATTTTTTCGTATAGTTCCCTTCTCTGGGCTTTAAAAAGTTTTGCCCGCTACACAGCTGCGAGTTGGGGGCTCCAGCTTCCCTCGATGCTGAGGGAAATGCTGTCGAGCTATTTGTCTTTTTCTTGTAAATGAGCTGACTTGGTTTTCCTGACAGTGTATAAGACCTTTTGTCGCTGATGTTTTGAAAATCAGTTATATTTAGACATTTCTTTCTTTTTAAATTATCCTGCAGAGTACACATTGTGTGCTTTGTATAATGGATTCATATACTATGGATAAACAAAAATAAGTCTTTCATCAGCTCTGGAAAATTCTCAGTCATTATCTCTTCAAACACTCTTTTCCAGTTTCTCTTTCTGTCTTCCTTTTGATGTGTGCACTGATGGCTGTAACATGTTTTCTCTTGAACGACAATGAGACATCGATCTGTTCTCCGTGTCTTATGCTACGTATTTCCCAGAGCCTTGTCTCTGCGCTATGCTCTGGACGTAACTGTCCAGATAACTTCTAATCCACCAATTGTCTTTTCAGCTGTCCTAAAATACCAACTAAATTGTCCACATAACAATCGTATTTTTCATTTTTAAAAGTTCTTTTCACCACTCCCCACCACCCCCAAAAAAAAGGACTCCGTCCACTTTTTATAATCTCCCATTACTTGTTCATTTAAAAAGAGAAAAACAAACACACTCACTACTATCAGTCAATGCTGACTGATAGCTACCCTGTAGGACAGGGCAGACTGTCTGTCTCTGTCAGTTTCTGAGACGGTAACGCTCTATGAGAGTAGAAGGCCCTGTCCTGTCCTGGTTTCACACCGCTAACCATGAGGACTGAAGTCCAATGCATACAGCCACTACACCACCAGGGCTCTTCAAACAGAAGAGATTGGGGTGAGCGGTGAGGGAGGGAAAAAATGAGGAGCTGATCCCAAGGGCTCAAGCAGAAAGCAAATGTTTTGAGAATGATGATGGCAACAAATGTACAAATGTGCTGGACACAATGGATGGATGTATGGATTGTGATAAGAGTTGTATGAGCCCCCAATAAAATGATTAAATAAAAAATTTAAAAAAAGAAAATGTCAAAACCAGGGGAAAAAAGAGAAGAGATTACTGGGGTTATTTATTTTATTTTTTAACTTTTTTCATATGATGCTGTAACGTAAGAGTTTGTATGCATGGTTTTGTGTGTGTGTGTTTGTTTAAGTAGAAAAAAACCCACAGGGAATTTAATTGCTCCCCATACACAGGGCAGGGCTTCACGGGGTGAGGTGGCAGGTAGTGGCTGGGGG